AAGAGTGTTGGGTTACTGGTACTAGGTTAAATGCAAATGGTTAGTGTCCATCAGGGCAATAGAAAACCCCATAACCTTTGGAGATGTATTTTCTACCACATAGAAGCCATTTGAATCTCTACTGGGAAAAATATCTACAAATTAAAATGTTCCTTAACAGATTCTGTAATCAGTAATAAATGGAAAAATCAGACATATATTAACTTTAGAATTAAATAATCTTTAGATGGGGCCTGTTAGAAAATGCTCAGTATGACACTGAAAAGATATGAAGTTCTGCCTTCAATGTATTTTTCAGTTTCTCCAATTTCTTGTAACAGTGGTAAGATCACTTTCAAGGGAGTCTAAATCCATGTTTCCCACCAGTATCCTTGGAGTGTGTGCTAGATGCTGACGATGGGGCACTGAATTCAAACGCTGTCTCTCTCTCTCAACAGATTTTTTTTTCAGATAGTTTAAGATTTTTATATCCTTAACTTTATGTGTCTTAGTGTTTTATGATTATTGTTTAAAGTTGTATGCTTTCCATGTATCAGATATGTTGTATATAGCTTTTAAGAAAAATGACTTATAGTAGAGCCATTATAAGTGAATTTTCTACTTAAAGTAATACTGTTAGGAATCATCTGAATATTTTTCTTTTTTGAGAGTATATGTATATGTATATGTATATGTTGCATGTATATATAGAATCCTGTACTGGCACTGTACTCACATTCTGAATTATGTTTAGATTTCCCTCCCTGGAGGGTATGATTCACATGCTTGTGAATCTGTGATGTGATTGTAGCCAGTTTGTTGATTCCTCTACTTCAATACTTTCTGGCTTCCAGGCCCCTTTTTTCCAAGGCCAGCCCCCCTCATTCATGTTTCCTCCTTCTGAGAGCTAAATTACTGACTGTCCCTATAGTCGCCCAGCAATCCCTGGAGCTTCCTTTCATGACAATGAAGCAGAGAATGTGTTGGGAGAATGTCCAGGCCTCTTGGAATGAAACGTTTAAGAGTAATTGTCATTTATGAGGACAAGAATTGGATTTGAAGACCACGCAGAGTAGATTATTGATTGCGATCTGCTTGAGAGTCAGGTTACTAGACTTGAGAACTGAGTTTCTCCAACTACCTTAACTAAAGTGACCCCAGTCTTCTTTTAACCTTTATCAGAACACCTGTTATAGTCTATAATCGTTTATGAACTTATTTGTTCACTTGGTATATATTGTCCATCTTCACTGTATGGAAGCCATGGGGCCATGATTGTGTTGATTAATCTTTTTATCTAAGCATCCATCACAGTGCCTCACATAGGATGAACTAAATAAATATTTATTGAATGAATGCATCAAATTAGTGTTATACCTGTGAAGTAAGAAGGAAATGGGTAAAAGTGAGAGAAAATGGCAGGTGGCTACAGTTTAAGACACAAAACAATATACCATTGCTTTAGGCTTCAGTTGTCTGATATGGTTTTCACTTTCGTTTTGCTGATGGAAATATTCCAGGCACAAAAGCTTTAGGTGCCATGAAAGGTTAATATGACCATTATAGTGCAATAATAACAATATTGAAGAAGATTTAAAAACAAAAGAAAAAGTCAACTAAAGTAACACAGACTAAACCTTTCCTGCGGAAAAATTCTCTTGGTAGCCAATTCCAAAGATAGACTTTATCTAAAATAAAACCAATATTACTATGGTTGCCTTTAAGCGATACATTAACTCAGCGATAACTGCATTGCTCTAAATGTGTCCACATTTAATGTCTGTCTTATTGGAATTTTTCTTAATTTATTGTAATCTAATAATCATAGAACACATTATTTGTATTTGACACAGAGTTATGTTTTTACTGTGCACATTTTTTTCAGTGATATAACAAGGAATAATTGTTCAGTTAACATTATTCTTTCCACAGAATGCAATGTTTATTCATGTGCACTTGGTGAATTCTTTATAAACACATTAGCAAGATGTGGAAATATCAAATCACTGAAATTTCAAAAGATAGCTGTATAGAACAGTTGGAAAAAAATTGGGTGGTGGTGAATATAAATGATTCACATTAAATATTATGGATAATCTGAATGAAATGCATATTTGGGTATACTACAAGTAACTGTAATAATTTTGTCAAATGAAATAAGATGAGTTAACTGTAATGTCATTTTTTTGACTGGGAGAAGTTAGCTAGCCAGTTGAAAAATAGCTTCAGATTTTATTGGATTTTCTTAACCTCTTCATTTATTACATAAATGCATTCTCAAGGGTAATTGCCTTTCAAAAAAATCTTTGACTTGTGAAATGTAGAAAACACTGCTAGGCGTTTTGAGTATTATCAATTCTTTTTTTGTGTTTCTTGTTCAGGGTGCAACTGATTTTGACAGATGAACTGTTATGCTACTAGTATAACATGACATCTTTTTTCAGATGAGCTGAATAAGAGTGATCTTGACAATGAGTAGATAAGACATTGTCAGAAAGCTGAACAAACATGTCAATGTCACAGTTATGACACAAATGCAGCAGAACAGCCCTTATAATATCATTAAGTGAATGTCTTTTTAACGACGCCCTTGAAAAGAAAGACAATAGCACTGCTGTTAAATACTATTACTTAGCCACAAAAATAATAAAGTAAAACCAAACACAAAGGTCAGTTTAATATTTATTTGAAGTGGCATTTGGTGTGTCTGATGTATGTGCGTTTATTTGTATAGGAAATCCTTTATATAGGGCAGGTATGAAAGAATTTGGAAATATCAAAACCACTTTTTCAGGAGCTAAAACATTTAACTTTGACATTTCAAGAACACCATTAAAAATACTGATTGTGGAATATGCAAAGTGGCTCTATGAATATTGATCATAACCATTTTTCTGATTTTCTTTTTTTATGGACTGAGAAAGAAGAGCGTTTAATAACATAAATGAAAATTAGAAATATATTTTAAAATGGATTTTGTAAATAGATTAGCAAAGACTAAAATGGAACCAATCCCAGGTGTCAGGAGGGAGTTAGATAAGTGGTGGTTTTATTTTCCCTTATTACGACTGGCTGGGAGCTAAACTCTACATGTTTGTATGATGCTTTCTCTGTACATAGACATTTAAGATGCTTAATGAAAAGCAAGTCTATCTTAAAACGACTTTTAATGTCTTTGTCTCTAGGATCAGAGGTGGTTGATCTGGATGGAAGAAGTTCTCTCCTCTACAGATTTGATCAAAAATCCCTGAGCCCCATAAAGGAGACTATTTCTTTGAAATTTAAAACCATGCAGAGTGATGGGATTCTACTCCACAGGGAAGGGCAAAATGGAGATCACATCACACTGGAACTGAGAAGGGGAAAACTCTTTTTACTTATTAATTCAGGTACCACTCTTTGGTGAAAAGCTTGAAAATCTGGTCATTTAGATATCACTTCAGTAACTTTATGTGTTTATATCTTATAACAATTAAGGCACTTTATTTCTAGATTCAGGGGATTTATATATATACACACACCCCAGTGTTGTACTTTCATTGGAAATGGTTCATATTTTGCAAATTGTGTAAGATCCCCATTCAGAGTTTTTACATAGTGCCAATAGACCTATGTAGCTTTTCTTACCATCATGAAGAAGGAGATGGGTCATTAAAAAATATTAAGGTAGTAAAAATAATGAGGTTGTAGGAAAGATAAAATTTATATTGAAAATGTGCATGTGATGGGTAATACTAATAAAAAGAATTAACAGTGGAAGAAATTACAGCAAGGTTGAGAGGATATTCTATTCCACTTCAGGTAAATCCACACTAGTGTTTGGGGTGGAATGCATGGAAGGAGATGGTGATTATTATGAAAGATGGTGACTGATGAAAAGGAAGCTTTTTTTTTTTTTAAGATTGGGAATAACAGTGCTTTTGTTTTTCTTTTCTAAGCTGACACTAGACTGCCCTCTCCTCACACCCGGATCAACCTCACCCTGGGCAGCCTGCTGGACGATCAGCACTGGCACGCGGTGCTCATCCAGCGCGCGGGCAAACTGGTCAACTTCACCGTGGACGAGCACCGGCACCGCTTCCACGCCCAGGGGGAGTTCAGTTCCCTGGACCTGGATTCTGAGGTGTGATGGTTATGTTTCCGTGGATACAGGTTTGAGGATGTGTATGGGGTTGAGTCCAGCAAAAGAGAACCCCACTCTCAGAGTGAGTCGAAGTCCTGGAGAACCCCGAGGTGACATAGTGCACAGAGGCTGGCTTGGGCATCTTCTACTGAGACTTCACCTTTCTCAAATATGTTAATTTATTATATTTTTATGTTAATTTATTATTATAGAGAATCTTTTTTACTTGAAATGTGTAATCACAGAATGTCACATGCAAGAAATCTCCAGGAAGAGATCTCATTGCCACAAGTAAATACAAATTGTGTTGCCTGATTTTTTGTTATAGGGCACCCTGAACTGTGAAGATTTATTGGGAGGATATAGCAAATATTAGATTTATTAATTCATTAGCAATCAATTCAAATGCTTAAGTATCAATGTGTGCCAGAAATGTATATAAAATGAAATGTGATTGTAATCAGTTACATTATTAAACAGACCAGGTTTACCATGGATAAAAAGAGGTGTTTTTATTCATCAATCAATAAATATCAAATCTGAGGGTAATTAGCATTGTGGAAGGCTTATTAAAGTCTAATGTAAATGAGAATTGAGTGCATATAAATTTGCATAAATTTGTTTTAAAATCTGTATCTTTATTTAAAAAATATCTCTGACAGTAACAGTATGACAGTATAGGGTGCTGAAAAATGGATATATCTGGGCTATTATATATATATTAGCAATAATTGCTAATCATAATTATTTAAGCAGATTATCAGAAAATCACTAAACAATATTATTGATGCCATTTTTCTTTCTAAGATCAGCTTTGGAGGGATTCTAGCACCTGGAAAATCAGTGTCATTCTCCCAGAAAAACTTCCACGGATGTTTAGAAAATCTCTATTATAATGGAGTAGACATCATTGATTTGGCCAAGCGACAAAAGCCACAGATCTTCGCTATGGTAAGAGAGCCTTCATGTGAAGGACGGACTAAAACTACACGGCTTTTTACATGATGAAATTGCTCTATTTGATAAGCTATTTTAGACTTTTATTCTTTTAAAGCTTGGCTTTTCTCTGCTTGGCAATATGCCTATAAGGGATTAATTCTATCTAAAGGAATTACAATTCACAAGGCATATTATTTTATTTTATAGGAAATAGAGCAGGGTGTGTTTTTTTCAGTTGATCATTTTGTTGCAATATTATTACTCCCAGTAGACTAATTTCTTTTGCTCTGTAATTTCCTTAGTAAGATGTCCCCTGACAAACTCTCTAAATAAGCATACTGACTTCCTGGAATCAGATAACATCCATGTATATTAGAGAGGCATTTGAAAACGTGTATTTTGCCATGGTCATTCATAACAAATAAAAGAAGCTAATCAGCTGTGACGACGTCGCATCTGCCAATCTGTCCCAGTGGCAGTGCTGGCCAGGCTACACTGTGTTCTAATTCTACGGAAACACGGCAGGTTTAAAGGCAAGCCTATAGGTCAGCTTCCGCTGGGAAAGCAGCGCCACTGTGTTTTATGAACAAGGGATCTGATTTAGGACTTGGAGTTTAACAGCTGTCTGAGGAGCTGGAACGTGGAGGCCCGTGTCGGGAAGAGGAGTTGTGAGGGAGCGCCAGGGAGAGCTGGCACCAGCGTCTGTGGTCATCCTTCACTGTGCACCATCACACGCTCCAAAGCCCTGGAGGAAAATGGCCAGCACTTCACTTCCCACTCAGATATGCAAGCTCCCCGTTCGGCTAACTTTTAACCAGAACAGACAAGAAAGGGGATTCTGTGAAATGTGGTATCCAGTTTAACCAGCTTGATGATTGAAAAGCGTACACACATATCCATTTGAATCTGTCTCTTTACTTGCAAGTTTCAAAGCACATCATAGGAATATTTATTGTTTACAAAATGTTTCATCCCTAATTCTCTGTGTGAATTAGTAGCATGTATATGAGTATACATCCAGCAATTTTTTTTTAAACTTATTGATTTCAGAGAGAGGGGGGGGGGAAGGGAGGGGGAGAGAAAAAAGTCCATTTGATGTTCCACTTATTTATGCATCCATTGGTTGATTCCTGTATGTGCCCTGACCGGGGATCAAATCCAAAACCTTGGCATATTGGAGCGACGTTCTAACCAACTGAGCTTCCTGGCCAGGGTTCCACTGAAATTTTAAAATAATGTTGTTGTTTTTGTATAATTAGGGTAGTGGTTTAAAAGGAAAATAAAATATTGTAGGTAGTTGTGTTTAATTGGCAAAATGAGTTTTCAGAGACTCCTCATGCAGCCAACACCCACTTTTCACGGGCAAGAGGATTTGCTGCTTACAGGGGAGCAGGCAGCTGTCCAGAGGAAGCATGAGACCAAACTGCAGCTGGTAAATGTTTCCGTTTTTACTAGGTTTGTTCATTGTGCAGTTGCCTTTACATTATAGGCAAGTGTAGTCTACTTTTCAGTTTTTGTTTTTCATTCTTTAGGACAAGATATTTGCAACAATAAAAGCTAATTCACTTTTAACAGAATCACAGTATAACCAAAAACTTTTGTTTAACCAAGACTAAGTGGTTAAATTCCAATGTGTATTCTTCTAAATAAAATTTATTTTATTGACTTTCCAATTCTGTATTTGGAAAATTTACTAAGGATCATTTTCAGGAAAAATAAAAACATTTATCTTCATTTCTGAAGCATGTTGAAGAACATGCTTAATTCTTTCTAAATTATTCAGACCATAAGATTT